CATTTTCCAGAACTCTACTTTTAAATGAGAAAGTCATTACATTCTTACCATAGCCCTCCTAGCATGGATGGCAGTTTAATTTAACATAAGCCAAACCTTTAATACCAACTTGCCTGTAGCACAAATCTCCATGATTACATTAGCTTTGAAGATGATCACATAACCATATTTATTTTGTAATTCAAAGTTCTTATTCTCCACATGGTAAGAAAAGTCTTGGCTTGTTTGTGCTTTAAGGTCTCACATCAAGCATGACTTTAGATGTAATGAGATGACATTAGAAGTACAACAAACATTATATTCAACAGAGACCAACATAGAAACAACTAAAGGAGTTGTTAACCAAGTAAGTAACACTTTTACACATAAGGGGCCCAATTTAAATTGACAGAACTTTATCCTTGAAGCCTTTTGAATCTGAAATTTGAAGACTACCCCTTAATAAACCTCTAAAATATACTAGAGAAATTTTGGATCAAGGTCCCCTAATAAAATATTAAATCACTGTAACAGATATGCACCATTCCGAGTTTCACTCTTTCAATGGTTGATTCAATGCATATTATGTTCCTGTATTCTAGAACAGCATAAACCATGTTAAACTAACACTAGCAAGATGCAGCACTAGTATAAAACTAGATCCTTTTTTTATAATGAAATTCAGCTTATAGGTTCACCTGATTGGCAAGAGAACCATGAACTGGTGGTGTGGCAAAAAACTTCATTTCAGGGCATAGATTGTATCGACCTTCCTTGCAAAGATCACATCGCCAGCAACTGATCCCGGGTTCCAATGCCACACGGTCTCCAGGAACTAAATTCTTTACTTCACCTCCAACCTCCTCTATGATCCCAGCACACTCATGGCCAATCACCATTGGTTCTTTTACCACAAAATCTGCCAACCTCAATGTCTACAAACGTATAAACAAATTACAATTAAACCTAATGGCAAAGATAAGAAAAATAAAGGCACAGATAAGAAATATAAAGGCACAAATTTATTTCTTTCATTCCTGAAAAATTTTATTCATTATCAATTTGATTGGCAAAGAAATGAAGGTAAAAGGGTAGAAAACCTGT